ATCACAGGGGAGAAGCCCTGGGCCAGATCTCCTCGCAGCAACGCATTCTTCGTGGTTCCCACCAGCAGCTCAGAGCCCAGCCGCTCCGCGATGGCCCGCACAGCCCCGAAGTGTTCAGGAATCTGCAGTGGTGGCAGGAAGTCAGGGGGCACCGGCCATTCCTCTCCCCTCCCCTCCCTCCCTCCACCCCAGCCCAGCCCTCACCTCAGCTTCCTGGAGGGCCACCAAACCAGGCCCCCACTGTACCAGCCGCCGGTCCCGCCCGCCACCACTCAGCACGGTCCCGTCCCGCCGGAGACACAGGGCAAAGATGGAACCTTCATGAGCATGGGCCTGAGCCACAATCCCATAGGTCTCTGTTGGCACAGTCCTGGGCGGGTCAGACTCTCGGGGTGCAGGGAAGTGGGGAAGGGACAGTCTAGGCAGTCACAACAGAGCAGTAACCCCAGCTGGCCTGAGGCCTGCTGGTCACCGTCTCTGACCTGGGCTCTTCTTCTTCCCAGTTTACAGACTGGACAACAGAGACTCAAAGAATGGAAGTCACTTCCTAAAGGCCAGACCATTAGTGGCAACACTGGGATCTGAACCCAGGACCTGGCAGGCCCCAAAGCCCCAGCCCTTTACTCTCTGCCATGCTGCCCCTACCTTTCTCCACGGTCCCCCAGAGAACTATCAACTCTCACGGTAAAAAAAAAAAAAAGCGGGGGGAGGGGGCAACCCTCTTCTCTGTTCCCATAAACCCTCTAGGGCTAGACTTCCCAGATGCCACCCCCAGCCACATACCTTTGGCTCCGCCCCTGCCTGGAGTCTTGGAATCTGAGAGGCTCCGCCCCCAGGTGAGAATGTTCCCCTCTGAGTCCCCGGTGAGGATGTCTCCATCCGGGAGGAACACGAAGCAAGGGATAAACTTGGGTTTCTTGTATTTCTAGGGAAGAGGTGAGGCCACAGGGGAGGGCAAAGACCAAAGGTCACAGGGCAGCCGGGAGGTGGGTAGCATCGGGGTCTCCAGTCCTCCGACCACTACTTCCATCTCCATCTGCCCGCCCCCGCCCTGCACCCATCCACACCTCACCCCAAAGACACCCTGTTTCCGCGTGAGGGTCCCATTCCCAGGGACCCCCGCTGCACCACTCCAGTTCCAGAAGTGCACGTGCGACTTCCCGCTGGTGACAATGCAGCTGCTATCACGAGGGCTGAAGCCAACAGCCAGGACTGAGTCATTTGTGCTCTGAAGAGAAGACACTGGATTCAGCCACCCCAAGCCCTCGGCACCCTCATTCTATTGACTCTTCCTCTGCATCCTGACTGTGGGTCTGCAGAGATCCAGAAGCCCCGGGGCAGCCTTCCGTCCACACCCTGGGCCCCAAGAGCAACTGCTCCTGATTAGTCACCCGCCCGCCTGGCATGATCTCCTGTGAGGCCAGAACTTCTGCAGTCCCCTCTGCTCAGCCTCTCAGAGGCTGGGAGGCGGGCCCAGGCGACAGCCAGAAAGGAAGTAATAGGTGGGTAAGTCTGGACTCTTGGGGCCCATCACTCCCACCTCCCAACCCCAACCGGCGGTGCCTGCAGGCCACCCAGCCCCTCACCTTGATCTCAGCCAGCTTCGTGCCGCGGCCGCAGTCCCACACGGACAGCATGTGCTCATTGGAATCATCCACCACGCAGAGAAAAGCACCCTGGTCCTGAGGGTGGGGACAGGCGGGAGGGGCTGGGTGAGGACTAGAGGTCTGGGAGTTCACGGTCATTAGGCAGCTCACACCATCACACGTGGGGAGGGGAGGAGAAGCGGACACACGTCCCTTTCTCAGGAGAACCGGCTGGGCAAGGTTCAGGCAGGCCAGGATGTCTGAGACTTCCTGGTGAAGTGCAAGAAGGGGGTTCCCGGATAAGAAAGATGGGGGTCTGGAGGCTTCGGGCCAGCTCACCACCACTGAAAAGGCCAGGGCCCCCACGCCCCGCTCGAAGGCCCCCAGTCCTATCTCCTGCAGCTTCAGCAGCGTCTCCGAGTCCCACACGTGAACCACAGGCTGCAGGGGCTGGAGCGGGAGAAGGGGTCAGGCGGGGGAGGAGAGCTGGGCGAGAGGTTCCTCCTGCCCGCCTGGGTTTGAGTTTGGCCTTACCTTTCCATCCTTATCCACTCCAGCTGTCTGTCCTGAGGCGACACGAACACCATCAGGGTGGACGGCCAGGCTACGTGGGGGAGCAGATGCTCTAAGGAAGGGGGTGGGTCTCTCAAGACCACCCAGGCCGCCTCTCTAGGCTTGCCGAGCAGCAAGGCAACGCCTCTCTCCTGCTCCTCCACACCCGCCCAGGCCCTCTGTCTGCCACACCCAGCATCCCCATGCCTAGAGCTGCCCACTCCCGGGCCCCGGGCCCCTCACCATCGAACGCAGTCCGTGTGGCCCCGGTAATGTCTCTGGCCGCCACCTCCAGGACCCCCTGGGCCTCCCCCAGGCCGGTACAGCACCACCACACAGGCGATAAAGTAGACCACCTCCCCAGAACGCAGCACAAACAGATTAGAGCGGGAGTCACGACCCCTGTACCCGTAACTGGAGTGGGCATCGCGGTCAAGGAAAGGGTCAGACCAAGGGCAGGATGAGGAAGAGAGGAGAACAGAGCTTCTGGCTGGCAGTGCTACCGGCAGAGGATGGTAAGGGAGGACTCAGGGGGTTCCCGTCCCTGCAGAGCCAGGAGGAAACCATAAACGGGGGGTGGGGGTCCCAAGATGGGAAAGATGGTTCCCATGGGCCTGGAGGGGGCAGGATACACCCAGTCAAGGCTGAGGGTCTCCGGGGGTGGGCCGCTGGGCAGCTCCTCAAGGCTGCGGATGCCAGATGGGATGTACATGGTAATTGGGCGGCCGCGAAGGAACATCTTCACTGAGATGCCTTCTACAGAGAGAAGGGGGGTGTCAACCACCACCCTGCAGCCCCCCTCCAGGAAAGCCAGAGCAGAACTCTACCCACCAGACCTCACAGGTCGCCCCAAAGTAGCTCTTGGGGCTCTAGCCCAAACCCTAACTCTTTCATCCAGATTCTTCCAGATGCTTCTGCACTTACCCAAATTGTAGTTGTTCCTCCGAGATCCCGGACCCCCAGGGCTGGAGAGGGGGTCTTTCCCCCCTCGGCTGTTGGGAAGACAGAAAAGCATAGGGTTTGGGGTCAGGTCCCGAGATGTACGTGCAAAGGGGCCGAGCACAGAAGGGAGGCTACTCGAGGCCACAGTCACCCCCGCAGTCACGGTCTGCATTCCGGGCATCCAGGCCCTAGAGTAGGCGGACTTCCGGCTCCATCTCAGATAGGAGCCCGTGAGGCTGGGGGCTGAGTGCATGGCACCAGGCCATAAAGCTTGCAAGAGGCAATGCCGAGTGACAGGGAGAAGCCCTTTCCTCCAGACCCGTGGTCGGCAAACTGCGGCTCGCGAGCCACATGCGGCTCCTTGAGTGTGGCTCTTCCACAAAATACCACGGGTGGGCGCGCACGTACAGGGCGATTGAAACTTCGTGGCCCATGCGCAGAAGTCGGTATTTTGTGGAAGAGCCACACTCAAGGGGCCAAAGAGCCGCATGTGGCTCGCGAGCCGCAGTTTGCCGACCACTGCTCCAGACCATCAGGCCTCTGGCTATGGAGCTTTCCAAGAAATGGGACAAAAATGAATCCGGAATGTACCCCAGGCGTGCCCTTCAGGGCTCTGGGAGGTAAACAAGAAAGCCCTTATCTCTCAGGAGGAAAGTAACAGAATTCCAGAGATCACTGTCACGAGGTGATAATAGGTGGTGATACCTCTGCAGAGAAGGAAGGAGACCAAGGGCAGGGCTAGAATGACCACTCCCTGTCCCGAGGCCTGTCCACGCTCTGAGACAGCTACGCTCAACCCCTGGCACTTGCCTTTGCTCTAACAGTCAAGTCTGGTAAATTGGAGGAAGGGGAGGGGCTGAAACTCTGAGAAGAGTCATCCATGAAAATCATGGAAGCTTCTGGAAAAGCCTCTTGGCATCTCAAGAGGTGTACAGTGATGAGGAGGAAAGGGCAAGGGACTAGAGTCAGGAAGAGCTGCGTTCGAGCCCTGCCTCTAGCTGTGTGACCCCAGACAAATGACTTACCCTCTCTGAGCCCGCTTCCTCACCTGGACAGTGAACAGCATGAGACCACCTACCCCCCAAGGATGTCGTGGGACTGAATGAGATGGAGGAGGAGGTCGAGGACTTAGCACAGTGCCCGGAACACAGCCGGCCCCCACGAGTGCTGGTTCCTTTCTTCCTGTTGGGCAATGAGGCCCCCCCACCCCACCCAGGGAAGCGAGTGAGGGACGAGGAAAGTCAAGAGCCTGGGCCTGGGGTGGGGCAGGTTGGGGAGCCTCGCCCACCTCTCCGTGCTCCCTGACCGCAATAACAGGTTGGCCGAGGACGCTGCCTTCCGGGAGAGCTTCTGTCGAGGCCGCTCTGAGGGCGATGAAGAGGAATTTCTCCGCGCCCTGAGAGGAGCAGCGAGCAGGTGAAGGTCATCCCCTCTAACCAAGCTCCCCAGTCCTCTCCCTGCCAACCCCCCGCCTCGGCCACAGGACACTCACGTGTCGGTGCACTGGGGGGGCTGTACAAGCCTGAGGATGCCTGGAGAGCCCGTGCCCCCCGGGGAGCCAGCGCCCCCAGGGGAGCCAGTGCCACTGCTGCTGCTGCCCCCTCCTTCAGACTGGGTTCCACTAGGCTCTTCACTGCCCCCCTGAGGGGCCGGGGGCCCATTGCTCAGGCCAGGGGTTCCCGGGGATGCCTCCATCTCCACCTCCGTCTCCGTCTGGGTGCCTCGGCTCACCAAGGAGGGGCTGCATGGGGGTGGCAGTCCTGGGGGGGCTGCAGGGCTGCTGAGGAGACAGGGAATCAGTCCCTGCCCACTGAGCCCCGGGAAGGAGGAAGAGGGGGTGACGACAGGCATACCTGGCCCTGGTGGGAACTGCCGGGCCAGGGTCCTGCAGGGAGGTGGGGGGCGCCTGCAGCCGCAGCAGGCGCAGGGCTTCGGCCAGGGCGGCCTTCACCAGCTCCATCTCCTTCTCCTGCACCTGGAGCCGCTGGCTCAGGGCCTGCAGGGCCTGCTGAGCAGGGCCCTCGCCTGGGAAAGGGGAAGGCGCGCTCAGAAGGCCCGGCCACCTGGGGGAAGCTGGAGGCTTCTTTCTCCCCGCAGCTTTGCATGGGTGCAGGAGGACTGCGGCCCCGAGGGGAGGAGACGGTGCGGAGGACCCAGGGCCTCCTCCTGGCGGGCAGGCGAGGAAGCTGGCAGAGCGCCTTTCCTGCCGCCGTCCAGGCCTCCGCCGGGCAGGGCGGACCGGGAGCGCGGGGGGAGCGCGGAGTCCTGCCAGGGGGCGTGGGAACCAGAGCGGGAGCCGCAGGACGGGTGAGGGCCCACCGGCCCACCCAGCGCAGCTCGGTCTCCGGGGAAGGCGGGAGCCCGAGCAGGCAGCCCCGGGACAGAGCGGGGCCACAGGGTGAGGACCAGGAGGAGAAAGGCAGTGACAGGAGAGGGCACCGGTGCAGACAGAGCCACGGGGCAGGTCCCGGGGAACCGTTGGGGGTCAGAAGCAAAAAGACACGAAATACCAGCAGGAGAGGCCCAGGTGCCTGGGGACCGGGGACATCCAGGTGCGGAGCAACGGGGGGTGGGGGTGGGGTGGGAGGATG